ATTTCTAGTTTGGGGCAATTATAACCACAGACACTGTGAATAAAATATTTGAAAAGACACCTAATCAAAGGATATATGCAAATGTCAAGTAAGCACATGAAAAGATGTGTCTTTTCAAATATTTTTGGGGGACCACCAGGTTGCCTAAAGAGGAGTGACCAGCCCAGGTTGGAAACAGGTAAAAACTCCTGTGCTGTCAAATATTTTGCTTATTTTTATTGAGTTGTTTTGTTATTATTGAGTTTTCAGAAATCTCTTTATATTCTGGATTCAGGGCTTTGTTTTTTGTTTGTTTTATCACGTAAGTGTCTTGCAAATATTTTCTTCCAGTCTAGTGGCTTGTCTTTCCATTTCCTAACTGTATCTTTTGAAGAGCAGTTGTTTTTTATTTTTTTGAAAGGTTTTATTTATTCATTTTTAGAAGGAGTGGAAGGGAGGAAGAAAAAGAGGGAGAGAAATACTGATGTGCAGGAGATACATTGATCAGTTGCCTCTCGCATGTTCCCAACTGAGGACCGGGCCCACAACCCAGGCATGTGCCCTGACTGAGAATCGAACCAGTGACCTTTTGGTTTGCAGGCTGGCAGTCAATTCACCAAACCACACCAACCAGGGCAGTTTTTAATTTTTAAAATAAGAAATGAAAGCTATGATAACTAATTTGAGGCCTTTGTTTTTTCCTAATATGAACATTTAATGCTATAATTTGCCCTTATAAGCACTGATATAACTGCATTCACAAATTTCTATAATATTTTGTTTTCATTTTCATTTTATTCACAATATTTCCTAGTTTCCCGTAAGACATCCTTTTTGATCCAGGGATTGTTTAGAAGGGTGTTATTTTTTTTTAAAGATGTTATTTATTTATTTTTAGAGAGAGAGAGGAAGGAAGGGAGAAAGAAAGGGAGAGAAACATCAATGTGTGGTTACCTCTCCGGTGCCACTACTGGGGACCTGGCCCACAACCCAGGCATGTGCCCTGGCTGGAAATCGAACTGGCGACACTTTGGTTCACAGGCCAGCACTCAATCCACTGAGCCACACCAGCCAGGGTTAGAAGGGTGTTATTATATTTGGGGATTTTTCACATTTTTTTACTGTTATTTTGTTGTCTGTTACGCATTTTTTAAAATTTCAATTTTAATCCCTTGTAATCACAAAACTGCCTTTGAATTTTAAAAAATGTCAATTTGGTCAAATTGGTCAAGCATTTATTGTTCAGGGATTATTCTCTATCCTTACTGATTTTCTTTCTTCCTTTTTTCAAATTAATAGTGGAAGTAAGAGTGTTGACAAGTTTCCAACTCTGATTGCAAGTTGGTTCATTTGCCCTTGGAGTTCTGTCGTGTTGTGTGCTTGGTGTCTTTTGAAACTCTGTTGTCAGGGACAGGAGTCGTTAGCACTGTTGTCGTTTTGGCACGCTGACCTCGTTATAATTATGCATAATTATGCAAAGTCCCTCCTTCTTTCTGGTGATAGTTCTTGTTCCAAAGTGTTTTCCTACTTACCAATCATATTTATTTGAAATTCCTTTTCTGATTGTTCTTGTATTTGTTCCTCTCTCTGGGTCATCTCAGTCTGGTTGATTACTTGATCATTGTGGGCTTTGCATTTCCCTGGCTTGGTCATTGTGATTTCTGATCTGATGTTGGACGTTGTGTATAGGGCAATAGAGTGTGGGGGGTGGGGGGTTGGGGAGGGAGCTAGCACTTTTCCTGTAATGGGCCAGGTAGGAAATATTTTGACCTTTGAGGGCCATATGTGGTTTCTGTTGCACATTAGTCTTCTGTTTGTTTTTCTTTTTAAATAACCCTTGAAAGTGTAAATATCACTCTTAGCCCGCAGCCTACACAAAAATAGGTCATGGACTGCATTTGGCCTCTGGGCCATAGCCACCAACCTCTGCGGAGAGAGCGAGATAAATAGTGTTTACTGCTGGAAAAGGCCACACCTCTTGTTGGCACGTTGGGGTGTTAGACTGGGTTTGGCTTTTGTTGCTGCAGTGGTTACGTTCTGTGCACTCTAGCTGCAAATTCCTCTAACCTTTGCTTGTGCCAAGGGTGCAGATATACATTCAAAAAGAAAAGAAAGAAAAAGAAATTGGATCACTTTCTTACATCATATAAAAAAATGAACTCAAACTAGATTAAAGACTTAAATTTAAGACCTGAAACTGTAAAACCCCTTGAAGAATATACAGGCAGTAAACTCTTTGACATCAGTCTTAGTAATATCTTTTTGGATGCATCTCCTTGAACAAGGACAACAAAAGAAAAAAATTTTAAAGCAACTACATTCAACTAAAAAGTTTTTACATAGCAAAAGAAACCATCAACAAAATGAAAAGAATATCTGTTTGATGGGAAAAGGTATTTACCAGTGATACATCTGATAAGGGATTAATACCCAAAATATATTAGGAACTCATACAACTTAACACCAAAAAAATGTTTTTCAGTAGAAAAGCAGGCAGAGGACATTTCTCCAGGGGGGACACACAGATGGCCGATAAACATATGAAAAGATGCTCAACATCACTGACCATCGGGGAAATGGGAATCAAAACCGCAGTGAGCTGTCACCTCACACCTGTCAGAATGGCTCATCAGAAAATCAGCCAACAAGCGCTGGATGTGGAGAAAAGGCCTCGCTGGTGGGAGTGTGAACTGGTGCGGCCACTGTGAAAACACCTGCCGTGTGACCCGGCAGTTCCACTTCTGAGTGTTTATCAGAAGAAAACAAAAACACTAGTTCAGAAAGGTACATGCACCCCAGTGTTTACTGCAGCATTATTTACAATAGCCAGCATATGAGAGCAACCTAAGTGCCCATCAATAGATAAATGGATAAAGAAGATGTGATTATATATATATAGAGAGAGAGAGAATATTAGTCATAAAAAAGGAAATCTTGCCATTTATGACAACATGGATAGACCTTTCATTGTGCTGAGTGAAATAAGTCAGAGAAAGAAAAACACCATATGATTTCACTTATATGTAGGATCTAAATAAAACAAAACAAATGAACATACAAAACAAAACAGAAACAGATTCGCGGATACAAAGAACAAATTGATGGTTGTCTAAGGGGAGGATGGGTAGAAAAAATCCTGTGACATGACTAAGCTGGGTAATGAGCACATACAGATGAGTTATATTTTTTTCTAATTTTGTGTATGCCTTACTTTATAATTTTTAAAGGCTTCATTAAGAACATATAGAATATGGATTTGAAGCCCCACCCTCCCCCACAAAAAAGAATAAAATCTTACTTAAAGTTTTTGTAGAAGCATTGTTTATAGAAGCATTGTTTATAATTTATAATAATATAAATCAAGAAAACCTCAAAATATTCATTAATTGAAGAATGGAAAATAAATTCTAATCAATTCATGCAATGAAATGGATGGGAAATGGATGAACTACAGTTTCTGTTATCAATCCAGATGATGCTCCAAAGCATAATGTTGAGTGAAAACTGCTCATTACAGACTATACACAATAGGCCAAAAAAGAAAAAAAAAGGAAAATGTAGCATAGTGACGACATTAGTTCTCTTCCAAATTAATATCCTGGTTCACTGCAACTTCAACCCAGACCCGAGCAGAATTTTTAACAGTTGGGAGACAAACTTATACTAGAATTTATATGAAACAGTGAAGGAATTAGAATAGATAAAACACATTTGATAAAAATAAAGTTGAGGGATTACATGTTCCTCTAACCTTTCCTAGTGCTGAGGGAGGGGGCTGAGGGGCCAGCGTGCCTTCCTCAGTGCCCTGCCCCGTCCTCCCCCTCCCCTGCCCCCTGTGGGCCTTCAGTTTGGCTCATCAGAAAGGCTCAGCTGTGCCTCGGAGGGTGTCCTTCCATCTGTTGCCCCTCCCCCAGCCACAGACTGCTCTCCTGGCTACTCGGAGTCTGCTGGGCTCCTGGTGGAGGATGGAGGGGAAATCTCTGTTGTTCTGGTTCAACTCCTGTCCACACGTGTGGGGGTGGTGGGGCCTTGCTAGTGGTCTTCTCCCTGTGACAGCTACCCTCTGCAGGTGCCTTTGGCAGGTCCTGGACTAGACATAGTTTTCTTCCCCTCCCCCAAGGCGGGAGGACTCTAATTTCTGGGCCTTGGACTTCCCTCCCCGATCCCGGATACCACAGGGTTTCCTTTTCTCCTTCCCCAGCACAGCAGTCCTCGCGGTGCCCTGGGGGCTCTGAATTAGAAGGAAAGCCCTGGGTGGGCCTTGGTATTGTGGCAGTTCCTGCTGAAGGTTTGTTCTGTCCACTCTTTCAATTCACTTATTTAACAGGTTTTGCAAGCCTAGTGCTAAGAACAAGGCCCTGATTTTTGAGCCTGGCTCCAGTTACAATATCCAATCAAGAAGTGAATTCATGGCGTGTTAAAGGCCCCCCACAGGGAGAACTGGTAGGGAGAGCTGGATCCACCCGGGTAAGGGGCAGGACTTCGTGCCGGGCTGCTGTTTCAGCCCAGCTCTTTTCACGGACGCCACAGCGCACGCAGGGCCGCCAGGTTCCGTAACTCACACGGGAAGAATGGAACACGGCGTGAAGGCCGCGGCCTGTGACTCTGGAACTCGGTGTTCCGAGCGCACGCCGAGGTTCCTCGGGCCTGCCGCGGGCGGGGTGGCGGTGAGGCAAGGCCTGTGAACGCAGTCCTGCAGGGGACAGCATTCCCGGCAGCGGCATGAAAGCCCTTGTGTTTTTAGTTCAGCATTTTGAAGTTACAGGATTGTGAGTAATATTTGAAGACAGGATGTTACTAAATAGATGACAGATGAGTTCTGTCATGCTGTTCCTATGAGCTAAGCTTTTACATCAAGAAATTATGTTGTTTCTGGGTCAGCTCGTAGTTTTCAAAACCGTCAGGTCTATCATTCAGCAAATCCAAGAACCCTGGGCGGTAGGTTCCACCCAGAGATTGCTTCTAAGCAGGAATTTCATAGGAGTTTCATTCTAACCAGAGCGTTACCTCTTTCCCCTCAGACCCGGACGCAGAGGTGTGTCTTCATGTTCTGCGACTCGTCCAGTCGGTGGTTCTGGAACCAGAAGTCTTCTCCAAGTCGGCCTCCGAGTTCCAGAGCTCCTTGCCCCTGCAGCGCATCCTGGCCATGTCCAGGAGCCGCAACGCCCGGCTGCAGAGCGTGGCCCAAGAGCTCCTGGAGGACCTCCGCGCGCTGGGCTGCGATGTGTAGGCCTGTCCCTTCCCCTCCCCGAGGTCCCCGCTTTGTGTTCTGACGCCATCACTGTGCGCCGTGTGCTACAGATGGCCGGGCGTTCTGGACTAGAGACGGATGGGAATGAATAGGTGTCCACACAGCTTCCTCCTGGACGGGAAGGTCCTTGTGGGCGGCTGGTCAGTCTTGCCAAGGGGGGCCTGAGAGAGAATCCATCCTGTCACAGCGGCCCTGTCTGGCTCCTCAGAGTGGCTCCTGCTGCTCAGGCCACTTTCTGAGACCTGTGGGTTCCCCCCAGACGGGGGTTAAATAACCACCTGTCCCTTGGTCAGCATTTTCCCGAGACACACTCCTGTGAAAAACAGTTCATTCTCTCTCTAGTAATTATAATTAATCCCCTGAATGCAAGTTTACCTTTAAACCTTTTGGTGAACCTGCTAGTTCAGATGCCATCGGACGTTTCGGTTCTGTACTTTTGTGCCTCTTTTATTTTTGAATAAAGAGAGTTGGAAGAGTCAGTGGTGCGCTCCAGGTGTGTGTTCTGAAACGTACGGACTTGGTGTTAGGGAGCCGCATAGGAGAGTGCTTGGTAGGAGCACTCTCCTTGTGTTTACTGGGCTCTTTGTAAACGCAGAATGAAGTCCTCTTTTCCATGTAACAGGTGTCCTGAAAAGGCCTCACGGACTAGAGCCTATGCAGTTGGTGGAAGTTCTTTAAATGGTGTACACGGTGGGCGCCAGGGTCCCTTCACCACAGATTTCCTTCTCATCCGTGGCCGGGCCGCTGGCCGAGGATGCGGGGGGTGGCCCCACTCACTTCCCACAGATGCGGCCCGTGTGAGCTGAAGTCTGCCAGAGTCCCTCCTGAAGGTCACGTCAGGGAGCGCGGGCCCTCCCGGCGGTGCTTCCTCCAGCGTGACGCTGGGCCGTGGGCTCCGGGCATCCTGTGTGCGCAAAACCACGTGCAGGCGTCCCTCCCAGTGGCGGTCTTGGAAACGTGTGTGAGCTGTTTCTGTTGTGTGGCATTTCAGAATAATCTCATTTTTCTTTTAAGTAGACTTCTGCAGGCAGTGTGCGATTTACGGCTGAGGCTGAATGGAGGAGCTCGGGGAAGGCACAGTTGCTTGAATTTCACAAGCCAGCATATTGTGAAACACGCGCTCATCAGGGCCAGAGAAATGTTGTAAAAAGCAATTTAAAATTCATGGAGGCAGAAATTGGTCCATCTGTGCTGCATGCTTTTGTGGGGCCTGATGATTGGCGAATAAAATCAAGGGTGTTGTGTTTCTGTAGTTTTCCTAGGACGGTATCATTTCCTCTTTGATTGTTTGATAAGGTAATGGGAGCTAAACTAATGTAATTAGTCCGGGCTGTCTCTGCGCAGGCAGGGCCTCTCTCCTGCCGAAGTGGGACCAGTGGCGCAGGGAAGTGACAGGGACAGGGGCCAAGCCTGTGCACGTTTTGTCACCCAGCTGATGAGCAGGGGGCGTGAGGAGGAAGGATGTTTTCTCTCCTAATTTTGAAGGCTATGGGTACGGAGAGTTCTTACGAAAATGCCTTCAGGAAGGAAAATGACGAACACACGTTATGAATGTATGTTACAGGAAAAGTAGGTAAGGCCAGCTTCAAGGCGTGGCCCGTCTTCGTAATGTTCTGCTCTTCCTGTGAAGGTCAAGGAGAAAACATGAGTTCTTTAAATTTTTTTGCAGCTAGAATTCGAAAGAAATGCAGTTTTAAAGGTATGCATAAAAACAAGTACTTGACAGTATTTGAGGTCTGTGATGAATTTTAGAATTGGGAACAAAAGCAGTAAAATGGTACATATATTTTTGAAATTTAATTTGTGAGGAACTGCTCTTATATTCAAGTTACGGAACTCTTCTTTCCTCCCGTGCTGCTGGTTTTTTGTGTAGGGTGTGAAACCCGTCAGGCCCCCGGTGGGACGTCGCCCACCCCACCCTCCCGCCCCTCACAGGTGGTCTGAGCTGGCCCCTGGTTCCCAGCTGAGTCCGCCCTGGGAGGTGTGGAAGGGGCGGCCCTGGTGGGTGGCTCCGACCCAGTCTGCGCACGGTGTGAACTGGGAGAAGCCTGATGTCGGAAGGAGCTCTGCTCGTCCCAGGTGCTTGTTTGGCCCCGTGTCTTCTGCTTATTCCAGAGGATTTTAAAACTAGAGTCCCAAGCACGCATCACAAGTCTGGGGCCTGAGAAAACCAGCCCGAGGCTGGAAGTCAGACCACGGGCAAGGCAGGGCTTCAATACCAGTTGTCAGTGTGCCCGTCACACCGATGCCGCCAGACCCAGCCGTGTTGCCCTGACATCAGGGCGAGGGGAAGTGGTTCGTAGGTACTTTCATAGACTTCACTGATGTCCTACTAAGTCCTGAAGGTGAAGTTTGCTCTGTTGTGTTTTTTATGGTGTATGTGCTTAGACTACTTGGGAAGGACTTCTCCGACCAGTGTCGGGTCTCCGGGGCAGACCCTGGTACAGTGCAGGACATGGTATGGCACGCAGCATCCTGTAGGGGGCGTGCAAGCTCAGGATCTGGTGGGAGGAGTGAACCCAAAGTCTTTGGATACTTGCTAAGTCCAGGCTCAGGTGGGAGGGCAGAAGGCGACTAACTGGTACACCTCCGCCTTCACAGGGCTCGTCTTCAGGGCCCCTGGCTGTCTCCCTGCACGAGGGCACGCCCACGTAAACGTGTCTGCAGATGTGGGAGGGGACTGAGTGGTCTTCGAATGTGCCAGTGTGTGTTACAGAATGATTGTTACTGATTTTTTGTTACTTGTAGTTTTCCAAGTTTTTAAAAATTGTGTAAAATTTACCACATAAACAAATGCTAAACATTCAGTTTAACCACTTTTAAGTGCAGAAATCAGCGGCATTAAAAACGTTCACAGTATTAGGTGATCATCACCACTATTCCAGAACTTTCTGTCATACCGAACAGAAACTCTGTGCCCACGAAACAGCAACTCCCGTGCTCAGCCGCCCCCTCCCAGCTGGAACCCTCCCTTCCCCTCCTGCCTCCGGGAATCTGACTGTGCTGCACCCCTCTTGTCGGGAGTCAGGAGGTGTGTGTCCTCGGTCTGGCTCATCTCCCCGAGCATGTGTAACGTCCTCGAGGTTCACCCACGTCATAGCACGCGTCAGAACTTCATCCCGTTGGTGGCGGACTGCTGAGTATTCTGTTGTACCCGCACACCACGCACGGTGCATTCATGTCTGCCTGCTAACGGGCCCTGGGCTTGCTTCCACCTCTCGGCTGTCGTGAACGCTGCCGCCGTGGGTTTCGGTGTGCAAGTCTCTGTCCCCGCTGCAGGTTTTGGGCGTGTATCTGAACGGGGAACTGCCGTATCATGCGGCGCTCTCGTGTGCCGCTTGGAGAAGCTGCCAAACCGATGAACCCCTCTGCGCACATCCTCCTCCTCCTCACCACACTGGTTTTCTGCTCGACGGTCCTGGTGGGCGTGAGGGGGTCTCTCGTTGTGGCTTTGGTTTGCATCTCCCTGATGACTGTTGGATGTCGAGCGTCTTTCTCATGTGCTTATTGGCCGCTTGTGTATCTTCTTTGGGGAAATATCTGTTCCAGTCCATTGCTCATTTTTCAACTGGGCTGTTTGTCTTTTTGCTGTCGAGTTGCAGGAATTTGTAGTGTTCTGATATTAACCCTTTGCTAGCTCTATGACTTTTAAAAATAACTCTCATTCTGTGGGTTGTCTTTTCACTTTGTTGACAGTGTCCGTTGATGTATAAGAGTTTTACGTTTTGATCAAGTCTGATGTGATCTGTTTCCTCTTTTGTTCCCTGTGCACTTGGTGTCATATCCAAAAAGTCACTGCCAAGTTCACGGTAGTGTGTGTGTCCACTATGTTTTCTTCTAAGAGTTTTATGCCTTGGATCTTACACTTAGGTCTTTGATCCATTTTGAGTTAATATTTGTCTGTGGTGTTAGGGAAGGGTCCAACTTCATTCTTTTGCATGTGTATATCCATCCAGTTCTCCCAGCACCATTTGTTGAATTTTGTAATTGTCACTTGGAAATATTGTTACAAATATGATTTTCAAAAATGCAAAAATTCACATACATTATGCTTCTTGTATTTTAAAAATGTCTGGTTTGTCTCATGCATAGCCTTGACCGTGAGGGTTTCGAGTTGTCCCCAGGGGGTCTCCCTCAGCTGCTGCTTCCCTCCGCGGGGGTGTGCTTAGTGTGCTGAGCATGTAGCACAGATGGCTGTCCAGGAAAATGACTCCTGGTAGTATAGTTTATTGCGTTTCTTAATCAAAGGCATATTTGCAGCTCAGCTTTTCAATAGGAATGGTTTAATGCAAACAAGGACTCGGGGAGAGAGTCCAGGCAGCAGGAAGAGTGGGTGCAAAGGCCCTGCACCACGAGACTGGGGTGCATTTGAAGACAGCAGAGTGAGCGGGCCGTGGGCAGGACTTTGTGGTTCCCTGTGTGATGGCAGGTGATTGGAGAGCTGGGGCGGGAGCAAGGTCTGATTCACATTTTAAAATGTAAAAAACGTGACCCTGACTTCAGCCCCGCAGCCCTCTACCAGATCCTCCCTCCACTGTGAGCGGCGGGAGTCCAAGGTGCCAAGACCAGCACGCTGGTCTATTTCCAGAGTGAAGCTTCCAGTCTCCCCGGGCGACCTGGGCCAGCTCCGGTATCTCTCGCCTGGCGGCCCACAGACTTGCCACACCCAGGTCCGAGGCCCAGCGTGCAGGTTCTCCCTGGGCCCTGCGCCCGCCTGGCTGCTGTGCACGCGTGCCCCCGTGCAGAGCATGGGCAGTGATGCCACAGTGGAGGAGAGTGCTTGCTTGGTGCCAGCCCGGCGGCCTGTGCCCACTCTCGGTAACTCGCACTAGCAGCCCTTGTTCAGTTGCACCTACCTGTTCTTTGTTTGATTGCAGACCCCAAAAACAGTGTCTGTGAGCTCTGGTGCGGTCATGCAGGCCTTGGACAACCCGATACACTTCTCTACGCAAAACTGCACAGGAGCACACTTGCCTTTTCCTGCACAGTTTCTGGGAGTATGTGGGGTGAGGAGTGCTTGCCTGGATGTGAGAACCACGTTTGTGGAACTCACGCGGCCTGATGCAGTGCCAGGCACATAATGAGGCACTCTGGCAGGAAGAGTGTTTCTGTGACATTGAAAGGTCTCCCACACTAATGTCAGCCCTGCACCTGCACAGGAAGTATTTGCTGTCCGGTGGAGGTCAGGGCTTGTATCTGATTTGCACCAGCTCAGTCCTCATAGCCACTTTCTGCAGTGAGGAGATGAACCTAGAGATGTTAAGGTGCCCGCCCGAGTGGCGGAGCTGTGATTCGAACCTGCTTCCCTCTTTTGTAGCCCTTAATCACAGTGCAGTGTCACCTTGGCCCCCCTGGGTTTGTGTCCACCCTCACCTGTGGTCACTAGTTCTCCAGACCAGGGCCTGGTCCTGTCTTGAGCCTTCATAGTTCTGGTGACTAGTGGTTTAAATTCCTCTGGCGCCCTCTTA